TAGTGCAATATTAATGTAACATCAGGGGTTGTGCAATGGTGAAGAGAATGTGAAGGATGTGTGTTTTTTATTCTATGGTTCTTATATTTACAATATAAGGTGCACTGGGGATGGCATTTAATTTCGTTGGACGAGGTACAATGACAATAAAGTTTACTACTACTAAAACCAAACACAGAACTTTGCCCTGCAGCCCAAGGCAGTTTGAGACTCATTTGCAAGCTTTTATATCCCCAAAATTGTAATGTATTTTGTATCACTTTGTGATGGAATGTATCTATGAGGGGGAGAGTGATGTGGGAGATCAAGGCTATCAGGAAGGAGGGGTGGCATTTCAGCAAGGGAAAGGAGGCAAAAGGCAACACAGTCCACAGGGGGAATGTGAGAAGAGTAAGAGATTCAGGATAGCCACTTCCTAGAATCTCACAGGGTATATCAACTAGTTGTTGTAGTGTAGATTTAGTTTGGCAAGGTTCTGTCTACAAGGTGTAAGCAAATAAAGGAACTGTATTCGACTGGACTATTTCACCGTTGTTCTTGGGCTGGGCCTGACACACTTAGAATATATGTTCTGATAAAGAATACTTTGCCCTTCAGGCAGGATTCCTGAGTGGACCTTTAGTTATGCTTCAGGATCCAGATTTGTTTCTTGGTATCTTCTCAGTCAATACAAGGAAAGGATTTTCATTGATGAAGCTCCAAATCCTTGAAATAATCCCTCTGCCCTTCTGTTCATTGGCAGCCTATCCTAATAGGTCACCTTCCTGGCCATTCTAACTAGGAACTACAATAGCTACCTAACTGGATGGCACCAGGTGGAGAGGTTCTTGCCTACACACTTAAATGGGAACCCATTCTTGACTGTACCATATATGCACTAAGTTTGAATCATTTAGGCAACTTGTGTAAGGTGCTGGTTGAGTATTTTTCGAAAGGCTAAAGAACTTTATTTGCGCTCTGTTTAACAGCTGAAATTGGATGAATAAGAAAAGCATTTTAATTTATTCTATAAACACTTTTTTTTTAAAAAAAAGTTTTTATTAGATATTTACAGTGAAATTCTATTCATATCTATTCAGAAGTACACCCTGGTAAATTTAGTGTGATTTACTTTTAGGAAAGTATGACTACAGTTACATCCTTATGCTCATTTACCTATAGCGTATTTTTATTACCTGCCTTGAGATAAGCCAAATTTTTAAAAAAAATTATTATTTTTATGTGTCAATATTATAGCTTGATTTGGGAGCTTTTTCTCTTTCCTTGGATCAGATTACAATCATATGTATGCATCACACACATCAGACCCAGAAAATCCTATTTCAAGTGCCAATTTTCACTAATTCTTAAAGGCTTTACCTCAATCAGCCTCTGTTGAAGTAATGCACTTATTAGTTGATAGAATAAGCTACTTAAAGCTAATGCTTCTGGGTTTCATAAACACTTTGGAAACTGCATAAAAAATTAAACTTTTTTTTAAAGATGTTTTTAATTGTGCAACTGTTCTCATTTTTAGATCCATGATTGTAATTTGAAAGACATATTACTGTCAGATGAAATTCAGCAGAAATACTTTCCACCTCAGATCACTAAAGTTGTCTGAGATTTACTATGAACTAATTTCAATCATATGAAAATATCTTTTAGTACCCAGAAAGAAATAAACATTTCAACCCAGAAATAGTTTAAATAGTATGGTTTAAGCCATTATATTAAAAACTTGGAAAACTGGATTTGCCACACCAATTATAGTTTGCTAGACATTACATAGAAGTGTACTGGAAAAGGAGAGAGTGAAAAAAAAAATACATACCATGATGTAAGCATTTCTGTTGATAAATTTAAGGAATTTTTCCAAGCACCAGAAACAGCATTTGAGGCAGCAAAGCAAGAACTTAGCAAATGCATTTTGTGAGCCTGTACGAAACAGAGAAAACATTTCTTAACAATTACAAAATGCCAGTAAGGTGCCAAATGAAAGATTTTATGCTGGGCATGAGAATTGTAGTTGAAGGATACCAGGGGTTGAAGAAACATAAAGCTTTAAATATGTTGTTTCATTGCTTGCTATAAAGGACTTCTGAGTTTCCACTCCACCAATGATCAGAAATCCTGATAAGGCAACGTTTCCAGTCATGGCTTGTGTTGTTAAGTACATTTTCCCAAAGAAACTTACAGTCCCTTACATGGAAACACTGGAGCAAGATATGTGAGCCAGTCATGGCTAAAACTATACGTATGTAAATGTCTCTACAGAATTTTTGTTTTGTAAGGCATACCAGTGTACCAAACCTGAAAAAGCGAAGTGTTATTCCATGAAACTCACCCTTAAGTTTGTGATCCAGATATTCCAAGATTACTCTAATTAGTTGGACCACTGCAAGAATTAAAGACCCAAATGCTAAAGAACCTGTATGATATCTAAGAAACAAAACAAAACAAAACACCCAATGTTACTCTTCAAGAACAGGCATATCACTAGACACAGATCAGTTATAAATAATGGTTAATATGGCTAATATTAACATGAGAAAAATCCTAGTATGTAACATTATGGATTACAAAATGCATTTATCAGATGTGTGTGTGTGTGTGTGTGTATGTATGTATGTATGTATGTGTGTGT